ACTTAAATGTGATTGTTTTTAGAGTTTCCCTTCGCACTCGACGCCAATAACACATGAGGCATGCAGCTCAAGGAGTTGAAGAACGGCCGACTCGCAATGATGGCCTTCATGTCTTGCGTGGTGGGCCACTACTTGCCTGGAAGCGTCCCGGGAGTCTCCGCTTTGCCGCGTGAGTCTGCCCCAGCCCAGGCCCCTGCTTTCTGCGGTGCCACTCCTGCCAGCTCTTCCGAGACTGGAGTTTCCAAGACCGCGGCACGATACACCACTCAGACCATCCTGCCCACTTTGGCTTGGATCAAGACCGGAGTGAAGGCCTCCGAGCTGCAGCCAACTGAGCTGCGAGCTTTGACCCTTGCAGGCAACGATGTCCTGATTGGCAAGACCGAGGCTGGTGCACTCTTTTGCGTTGGCAACTTGTGCCCTCACATTGGCACACCCATGAGTGAGGGTGCGGACGTGATTGGTGACGTGATTGTGTGCCCTCTGCACGGCTCTTCCTTCAAGGTGACCAACGGTGAACTTATTGACTGGTGTGTCTCTCCACCCATCATTGGCCCTCTCACTGGTCTGATTGTTGAGAAGAAGAACCTCTTGGTCTTCGAGGCCCGACAAGGTGGCTTCTTGGGTTCTGGAGAGGTTGAGGTGCTTGTGGACGTCAACGCCAAGAAGGCCTATGAGGCAAACTACTGGAAGGGCTTGTTGGATGCCCAGGGCAAGGACGATGGCACCTACTACTGAGCATCTCATCACGTTTCCATAGACTTGAGGCGCTACTGACTTTTTGTTCGCTCAGAAGTCTAACTTATTGAGTGCTAGAGTGCCCAGGAAAAAGTGTCTGCACTGCCGCTTTGGACTATGTTTGCATGAAAGCCCGTTTGCCTTTTTTTTTTGTGTGAAGTGTTTGCAAAGTCTTGTGATTTGTTTCTTTCCCATTTTTTTCGCTTTCTTCATATCTTCATGCCTGACCTGACTCGCAGGTTTTAAATGTGGGAACCTTTGTCAAGGGGAGCTTCCGAAGTCTGACAAGCAAGTAGCTTTGTTTGAAGTTCGGGCGGTTGGTGTTTCTTGCCCAGTCTATGGAGAGGCTCTGTGTGATTTCTTGGTGTTTTGGTTCAGAACTAGCTCTTGCTCCAGAAAAAAAGGGGTGTCCATAGTCCATAGCTTCTGACAAGATGGAGGCCTGGGGCAACGCGGTGACATAGGCATTGGAAACCTGCTAAGCTGATGGCATCATTTGGAGTGGATACCAGACGGAATCAGTCGCCCACTAGCAGAGTCAGAGCACAGTGAGTCAATCACCCCCCACGTCGGAGTCAGTCACCCTCCACAGCCCCACTGGGGGCGAGGGGTGACTGCCCTGCGGCGTGCCTCGCGGGCCATCAAAGTGACATGGTTTCTTTGGGGTTGGTTCAGGGTTGTTTCAAGATAAATTGGGGTCTATTTAGAGTTGGTTTTAGGGTTGGTTTAAGGTTTCTGCAGGGTTTCCTCATGGTTTCTTTTAGGGTATATTTAGGGTTGACTTAGTGTTGGTTTGGGGTTTCTTTAGGCTTGGTTTAGGGTTTTTAAAGGGTTGGTTTAGGGTAATGATGGGTTTCGTCAGGCTTTGTTTTAAGGTTGGTTCAGGGTTGGTTTAGGGTTTATTTAGGCTTGGTTTAGAGTTTATTTAGGCTTGGTTTAGGGTATATTCAGGCTTGATTTAGGTTTGATTTAGGGTTGGTTTAGGGCTAATGTAGGGTTTTGTCAAGGTTTGGTTTGGCGTCTATTTAGGGTTTATTCAGCGTTGGTTTGGGGTTTATTTAGGCCTGGTTTAGGATTTTTAAGGGTTGGTTTAAAGCTAAGTTAGGGTTTCATCAGGGTTTGTGCGAGGGTTGGATTAGGGTTTATTCGGCTTGGTTTAGGGTATGGTCAGGCTTGGTTTAGTTTTTATTTGAGGTTAGTTTCGGGTTAATGGTTAATGTCGGGTTTCGTCAAGGTTTGTTTTGGGATCTCTTTAGGGTTTACTTAGTGTTGGTTTTGGGTTTTTTAGGCTTGGTTTAGGGTTTATATAGGTTTGGTTTAAGGTGAAATTTGGGTTTCGTTAGGGTTTGCTTGAAGATTGGTTTAGGGGTTCTGTAGGGTTTTGTTTTAGGGTTTATGTAGATTTGGGGTTTATGGATGCTTGGTTTGGGGTTTCTTTTGGTTTGGTTTAGGGTTGAATTATTGTTTCGTCAGGGTTTGTTTTGGGGCGGGTTTAGGGTTTGTTTTAGCGCTGATTTGGGGTTTACTTAGGATTGGCTTAGGGTTTATTCAAGGTTGGTTTAGGGTTTATTTAGGGTTAGTTTGGGTTTCGTTTAGGGTATATTTAGGGGTTGGTTTAGGGTATATTTCGGGTTGGTTTAGGGTTTCTTTGGGGTTGGTTTAGGGCTCCTAAGGGTTTCGTCAGGATTTGTTTTAAAAATGGTGTAGGGTTTATTTAGGGTTTGGTTTAGGGTTAGTGTAGGGTTTTGTCAGGGTTTGCGTGAGGGTTGGTTTAGGCTTTACTTAGTGTTGCCTTGGGGTTTCTTTAGGGTTGCGTTAAGGTTTCTTGAGGGACTCTTTGTTGTTGACCTTCCGTTTTTCCATGTTCCCATGGGTTCCTTACTAGATAGATAAGACAAGATAAGATAAGGCAAAATAAGGTAAGATAAGATAGATAATTAGTTAAATAGTTAGATAGATAGATAGATAGATAGAAAGATAGATGGCTAGATAGATAGATAGATAGATAGATAGCTAGCTAGCTAGATAGATAGATAGATAGATAGATAGGTAGATAGGTAGATAGGTAGATAGGTAGATAGGTAGATAGGTAGGTAGATAGATAGGTAGATAGGTAGATAGGTAGATAGGTAGATAGGTAGATAGGTAGATAGGTAGATAGGTAGATAGATAGATAGATAGATAGATAGACAGACAGATGGATAGATAGATAGATAGATAGCTTTCAGGGGAGACTGATTCTTTGTTGTTGACTTTCTGTTTTCCCCGGGGGTTCCTGGATTCTCCTTCCAGGGTGACCGACTCTTTGTTGTTGACTCTCTGTTTTCCTCCGCGTTCCTTGATCCTCCTCCCGGTTTCCGAGGGGTGACTGACTCTCGGTTGCTGACTCTCTGTCTCCTCTTGCTGGTTTCTCTGCATCCTGTGCTGTGACTGACTTTGTCCTATGGTGTTCCTGGTTGGACGTTTGGGGCGACTGACTCGGGTGATTGACTCTGTCTTTGCCCATTTGGAGTGGCTTTCTCTGAAAATTGGTGGACAAGAATCCATCCAAATGCTTAGACAGTCATTTCCACCATTAAGATTGCCAGGTAGTGATAAATCCCAGCATTTTTGGAACCCCATTCTCTACCAACCCTTGGGGCCTGGAATGGCCTGGACAGGTCACTGCTTTCGTTGCACCTGTGACCAGTGCCAGAGCCATAGAAAACTGGTGGTGCTTTCGGGAAGGCCTCCCTCTCTATGGATCAATCATAGAGCTTTTTGGAGGAGGTTTTCTGGAGTATCCCATATCATTAAACATTGTATCAATATACCTGTGACAATTCCAAAATATCATCAAGAACTTTCCTGTATTCTCCAATCAGATATCACCAAGTCACCAAGCAGAATTCATATAATCACAACCCCTTAAACACTTTGATGACACTGAGTAACTTAGTATCATCAGGTCTACTTAGTATCACCAACTATCTTCATGGTGATTCCCTGTGCCAAGGTTAGCAGCACTGGCCCAGTGAACCAGATTCCAGCACATGCAGGTAGGATGGGATTTCTCAACAGATCTCCTGGTTTTGCGGGTGAAACAGTGGTTAGCTTCCCGCAAGGTGATGTGGATCATGTTGATTATTGTGAATTGGAACTACCCTCTGGTTATGACTAACAGTTCGCCATGGTATTTCGATGGCCCTAATCGAAATAGATGGTTTACCTAGCTATAAAATGGTGATTTTCCATGCCTATGTTAGTCATAACCAGATGGTAACTCAAAGAAACTCAAAGTGTCTTTGTTTCCTTAGGAATCGAATACGGAGAATGAAGTGATAGATGGACCGCCTCGTTGGCCTCAGCTGTCAACAGGAGCACCAGCCAGCGGCTTCGGACTGAAGGCTGGATCAATGGGTTGGGAGGATCATGCTGACCTCGCTTTCCAAAAGGTTTTGCAAAAGATGATTGCTTTGAAAGTTGATCCACCATGATCTACCCATCATTTTGTTGATAGCCAAACCTTGATGGTTAAACAGTTGAACCATGCTTAAACCATGCTGAACCCCCTCGGTGAAGCCATGGTACTCCGCCATTCCGCCAGGCAACTGTGGCCATGGGTGCCGTGGCCCTCGCTGCCGGTGTCAAGCGAACTGCACGACGTGCACAGGCGGGAAAGAGCGTCGTCTACACGATCAGATCATGGTAACCCTGGTAGGATATCAAAGTGAGAGGCAACTGAACGGTATCTTGGAAAAAGGCATACTACAATCAGAATGGTTATACATATATATATATATATACATATATATATATATATCATATGTTGGGATAGATTCTGGTTCCGCTTGGCCCCACCAGCGGAGAGGTTGTTGGCGATTCTTTGTCATGAATGCCACATGTGCCACAGAGACAAGGAGATGGCAACGCTGCCAAAGCACATGCAGCCCGTGGCAACCCGCGCGCATGGTGCTTAGCACCTCTTGTTTTGCGTTCTTCCGGTGGTGATTGAACACACATGTACCCTTCCAGTAAAAGGGAAAGTCTTGGGGGAAAAAAATATATGGCATACATGTGGAAAAAGGGTTCAGGCCATCCATGTTTTTGCGACAGCAACAAACCTACCTTTTGGCCTTTCTTTTGCACTTGCACCGAGGGACTATCCAGTGTATGCACCTGGGCCATCTGGTGTCCCGAACTACCCGGAGTTTGTGGGCGACTGGGCCATCCCAGTGCCAGGAAGTTATAAGGCCTGCTTGACCATGACCGGACCGGATGTGGAGACAGGTAGCGAGATGGGCAAGCCTTGGGATCCCCTTGGCTTCAGCAAGCTCTACGATCGCAACTTTGACTTCAACGGCAACATGACTTGGCCACACGTGCAGTGGCTCCGAGAAGCCGAGCTGAAGCACGGCCGCTGTGCCATGCTGGCAGTTGTCGGCATCTTTGCCCAGGGTTCTTTCCACATTGATGGATACCCAGAGGCACCTTGGACCGAGGCCCTGCAGAAGTGCTATGACAATCCTCAGGGCATTGTGGGCTTCGGCATTGCTCAGATCTCTGCGTTTGCCATGGTCATTGAGGGCAAGTTCTTCCCCAACGATGCCTGGATTGGCCAGATGGACCGTGAGCCCGGAGACCTTGGCTTCGATCCTTTGAAGCTTGCCAAGGATGGTGAGAGCATGAAGAGTACTTCGGACATTTGATTCATGCATTTTTTTGTGCCTTTTTTTAGTCTTGTGCGAGTAAGACAGTAAGGCTGTTTGTCACTTGAGGTAGAAGGTATGGAAGCTGTTTTCATTGCGGGTTCAAACTGGCATGCCAGAAAGAACTATTTGACTGCAGCAAGAGAGTCACGCCCCCAAAAGCCAGACCTGTTTACACAATCGAACAGTGGAACAGGGATCGGATGCTGACTGACAAACCACAAGAAATCACTTAAATGTGATTGTTTTTAGAGTTTCCCTTCGCACTCGACGCCAATAACACATGAGGCATGCAGCTCAAGGAGTTGAAGAACGGCCGACTCGCAATGATGGCCTTCATGTCTTGCGTGGTGGGCCACTACTTGCCTGGAAGCGTCCCGGGAGTCTCCGCTTTGCCGCGTGAGTCTGCCCCAGCCCAGGCCCCTGCTTTCTGCGGTGCCACTCCTGCCAGCTCTTCCGAGACTGGAGTTTCCAAGACCGCGGCACGATACACCACTCAGACCATCCTGCCATCTTTGGCTTGGATCAAGACCGGAGTGAAGGCCTCCGAGCTGCAGCCAACTGAGCTGCGAGCTTTGACCCTTGCAGGCAACGATGTCCTGATTGGCAAGACCGAGGCTGGTGCACTCTTTTGCGTTGGCAACTTGTGCCCTCACATTGGCACACCCATGAGTGAGGGTGCGGACGTGATTGGTGACGTGATTGTGTGCCCTCTGCACGGCTCTTCCTTCAAGGTGACCAACGGTGAACTTATTGACTGGTGTGTCTCTCCACCTATCATTGGCCCTCTCACTGGTCTGATTGTTGAGAAGAAGAACCTCTTGGTCTTCGAGGCCCGACAGGGTGGCTTCTTGGGTTCTGGAGAGGTTGAGGTGCTTGTGGACGTCAACGCCAAGAAGGCCTATGAAGCAAACTACTGGAAGGGCTTGTTGGATGCCCAGGGCAAGGACGATGGCACCTACTACTAAGCAGCAATGAAAGAAAGGAGCAGGCTAGTTCAATGTGCAAAGAGAGCCAGGCGCTGTTGACTTTTTGTCTCTCCTAGCATATCTTGCTGGCGCCGAGCAAGAAAGAGTGCGAGAGTTCATGACTGCGAGCAAGATAGGGTTTGGTAACAAACACTGCTTCTTTTTCAATGACTTTCTGTTTGGTTGCTTCTTTGCAAAATGTGACTTTGCATTTGACTAACGCCCTATGAAATTTGTATGAATGCATCAAGGAGAAACCATTTGGTATTGATTCTAACTAGGAAGCTCCACGAAGCACCGCAAGACGGCTCCAAATGATCACCACTGGAAGGTTTGAATTTCCGGCACCCTCGGCTCAGACGAATAGTTGTTTCGGACGGGCACAGGGGATCAGGGAACACCTTGACAACATGGAGGTGGGTGAATCAGGAACACCCATTTTCAAAAATCTCTAAATGGGGTTGTCTGGAAATACCGGTATACCCCCCAAAATAGCAATTCAACAAGGATAATTATGATAAACCATGAGTTTTTGGTGCATCATATTTTCAGACAAACTCAAATCTGTATCCTGATGCATTCAGTCGTTATATTAGATTTGCTGCAGTTGAAGGGGTTGTTCTTGTTGACAAGTTGCCGTGACCACAGCCATCCCTCCGGCCGCAGGTTGCATTCGTTGGACCTGTGGCAAACACAGCAGGGACCTCAACAATTCGTTGACTCCTTCATTCATGGATGATACAGATATTGACAATGGGGTACATCCTGTATGGGGAAGTATGGGGTATATATATATATTTAAGGGCTGCCGCCCCTGCCGCCGACCCCGGAAGAATTGGCAAGCCGTCAGAACGTATATATGGTACAGGCCTGCACCCCCCCCCCAAAAAAAATGGGGAAAGGATGTTCCTGGGACAGTTTTACACGCATTGTTGCCTGTTATGGTTTTTATGTTAAAGGGGAACGTGCGTTCCTTGGTGTTGATGTTTTTTGTGATGTATGTTGTAAGACATTTTTGGTAAAAACGTTTCATCCTAACCTTGTTGATTATTTTAGGGGAGTATCATTGATTGGGTCAGGATTTGTTGAGGTTGTTAGGGTTTTAAAGTTTTCATTTATTCAACTAAGATTTCAAAAGAAGGGAATGTATCATTAAGATTGTCTATTATTTCTTGATGACTTAACGGTTCTGTCACTTCTTCATTGTTTGATTGTTTTTGTGTTTTTCCATTATCTTTTTGTTTTTGACCGGAATTGTTGGTTTGTGCTCATGGTTTTTTCTTTCCATTTCTTTTTAGGATGGTGTGTCTGACCACCCTTGCGTGAGTCGTAGGCTTCGCAAGGAAAAAGGCACATCGTAATAATTGGGTTTGTGAAATTGAAAGAAAAAAACATGGGCCCAAGTCAGCAGCATCAGCAGCATCATTAGCTTCAGCATCAGAATATATATATTGTTATCACTGTTACAATTAAATTATTATCAGTATTTAGTAGATGAATTTGGTGAAAACATGGGGGGTTTTGATCTTGTGATCGTCCTGGTGGTAGCTACAGGCAAAAAGAATTTAAGGTACTGTATCACATCATCCTATTTGAGTTGGCATGTTTGTTAACTTACCCATTTTTCAGGTTCAGCATGGGGTTCATCCCGGTATGGTGTTGGTGCATCCCAGCTCGTAGCAGCAGTGTTTCCCATGGTTTTGCAGCGCTTGTCTTGGCGATGGACTGCTTCGCCCTCTACTCGAAGGAGGGCCGGGTGAGCGGTGGATTTTGAACGGCAAGATGTGTGATTTTTTGCGAAGCAAAATGGGGAATAAACAGAGATACGATGATCTGGTTGGTGCGTTGGAACATGAATTTTATTTTCCATATATTGGGAATTTTACAACCCCAACTGACGAAGTCATATTTTTCAGAGGGGTAGGTATACTACCAACCAGTGATATTTAATGGCATCATAGTGCCTAACGTCCCTTCTGAAATCCTAGAAAAACGACATAAAACAACATAAAACAACCTTTTTCGAGAATTTCTGTTGCCTGCGGCCGCTCGCAGGAAAACAACTTCGAAAAAAGCAGCTCCCGGCAGGAAAACACCATGGCTCTGAAGGACGAACTAGTTCCAAAACCACGCCAAAAAAGTGCCTAACGTCCCTTTTGAAATCCTAGAAAAACAACCTTTTTCGAGAATTTCTGTTGCCTGCGCCCGCTCGCAGGAAAACAACTTCGAAAAAAACATAAAAGCAGCTCCCGGCAGGAAAACACCATGGCTCTGAAGGACGAACGAGTTCCAAAACCACGCCAAAAAAGTGCCTAACGTCCCTTCTGAAATCCTAGAAAAACAACATTTTTCCGAAAACAACTTCGAAAAAAGCATAAAAGCAGCTCCCGGCAGGAAAACACCATGGCTCTGAAGGACGAACTAGTTCCAAAACCACGCCAAAAAAGTGCCTAACGTCCCGTCTGAAATCCTAGAAAAACAACATTTTTCGAGAATTTCTGTTGCCTGCGGCCGCTCGCAGGAAAACAACTTCGAAAAAATCACCTCCCGGGGGGGAAAACACCAGGGCTCTGAAGGACGAGCGAGTGCCAGAACCACGCCAAAAAAGTGCCTAACGTGTCGTCTGAAATCCTAGAAAAATTTAGATGTTTGGTAGGCTGCTGGCTACTGGCTGCTGGCTGCTACTGGCGCTGGCTGCTAGCTACTGGCTATGTGCACCTTTTGCGTGCTCTTGCCCACGTTCTTGACACCCATTAGTGCCATCCTAGAAAAACGCAATTTTTCGTGCTGCTAGCTGCTGCACTGCTACCATTGCGCTTACTGCTGCTGCGTCTACTTGTGTCTGCTGCTGCCTGCTGCTGCCTGTTGCCTGCTGTTTGCTGCTGCCTGCGGGCAGCTCCCCTTTGCGTCGGCCGGTCCCGTCTGAAATCCCAGAAAAACAACTTTTTTCGAGAATTTTTGTTGCCTGCGGCCGCTCGTAGGAAAACAACTTCGAAAAAAGCAGCTCCCGGTAGGAAAACACCATGGCTCTGAAGGACGAACTAGTTCCAAAACCACGCCAAAAAAGTGCCTAACGTCCCTTCTGAAATCCTAGAAAAACAACCTTTTTCGAGAATTTCCGTTGCCTGCGGCCGCTCGCAGGAAAACAACTTCGAAAAAAGCAGCTCCCGGCAGGAAAACACAATGGCTCTGAAGGACGAATTAGTTCCACAACCACGCCAAAAAAGTGCCTAACGTCCCGTCTGAAATCCTAGAAAACAACCTTTTTCGCAGGAAAACAACTTCGAAAAAGGCAGCTCCCGGCAGGAAAACACCATGGCTTTGAAGAACGAGCTAGTTCCAAAACCACGCCAAAAAAGTGCCTAACGTCCCGTCTGAAATCCTAGAAAAACGACCTTTTTCGAGAATTTCTGTTGCCTGCGGCCGCTCGCAGGAAAACAACTGCGAAAAAAGCAGCTCCCGGCAGGAAAACACCATGGCTCTGAAGGACGAACTAGTTCCAAAACCACGCCAAAAAAGTACCTAACGTCCCGTCTGAAATCCCCCGGCAGGAAAACACCATGGCTCTGAAGGACGAACTAGTTCCAAAACCACGCCAAAAAAGTGCCTAACGTCCCGTCTGAAATCCTAGAAAAACAACATTTTTCGAGAATTTCTGTTGCCTGCGCCCGCTCGCAGGAAAACAACTTCGAAAAAAACATAAAAGCAGCTCCCGGCAGGAAAACACTATGGCTCTAAAGGACGAACTAGTTCCAAAACCACGCCAAAAAAGTGCCTAACGTCCCTTCTGAAATCCTAGAAAAACAACATTTTTCCGAAAACAAGTTCGAAAAAAGCATAAAAGCAGCCCCCGGCAGGAAAACACCATGGCTCTGAAGGACGAACAACCTTTTTCGCAGGAAAACAACTTCGAAAAAAGCAGCTCCCGGCAGGAAAACACCATGGCTCTGAAGGACGAGCTAGTTCCAAAACCACGCCAAAAAAGTGCCTAACGTCCCGTCTGAAATCCTAGAAAAACAACCTTTTTTGAGAATTTCTGTTGCCTGCGGCCGCTCGCAGGAAAACAACTGCGAAAAAAGCAGCTCCCGGCAGGAAAACACCATGGCTCTGAAGGACGAGCTAGTTCCAAAACCACGCCAAAAAAGTGCCTAACGTCCCGTCTGAAATCCTAGAAAAACAACCTTTTCCGAGAATTTCTGTTGCCTGCGGCCGCTCGCAGGAAAACAACTGCGAAAAAAGCAGCTCCCGGCAGGAAAACACCATGGCTCTGAAGGACGAACTAGTTCCAAAACCACGCCAAAAAAGTACCTAACGTCCCGTCTGAAATCCTAGAAAAACAACTTTTTTCGAGAATTTCTGTTGCCTGCGGCCGCTCGCAGGAAAACAACTTCGAAAAAAGCAGCTCCCGGCAGGAAAACACCATGGCTCTGAAGGACGAACTAGTTCCAAAACCACGACAAAAAAGTGCCTAACGTCCCTTCTGAAATCCTAGAAAAACGACATAAAACAACATAAAACAACTTTTTCGAGAATTTCTGTTGCCTGCGGCCGCTCGCAGGAAAACAACTTCGAAAAAAGCAGCTCCCGGCAGGAAAACACCATGGCTCTGAAGGACGAACTAGTTCCAAAACCACGCTAAAAAAGTGCCTAACGTCCCGTCTGAAATCCTAGAAAAACAACATTTTTCGAGAATTTCTGTTGCCTGCGCCCGCTCGCAGGAAAACAACTTCGAAAAAAACATAAAAGCAGCTCCCGGCAGGAAAACACTATGGCTCTAAAGGACGAACTAGTTCCAAAACCACGCCAAAAAAGTGCCTAACGTCCCTTCTGAAATCCTAGAAAAACAACCTTTTTCCGAAAACAACTTCGAAAAAAGCATAAAAGCAGCTCCCGGCAGGAAAACACCATGGCCCTGAAGGACGAACTAGTTCTAAAACCACGCCAAAAAAGTGCCTAACGTCCCGTCTGAAATCCTAGAAAAACAACCTTTTTCGAGAATTTCTGTTGCCTGCGGCCGCTCGCAGGAAAACAACTTCGAAAAAATCACCTCCCCGGGGGGAAAACACCAGGGCTCTGAAGGACGAGCGAGTGCCAGAAC